AACCCTGGAGAATCAGAGACAACTTTAGGGACCCCATGCTAACATCATTCTAAAAAGGCTCTCCCCAAACATCAACAGGGTCATAGGCATCTAATTGGCCACTGTGAGAACAGTGGACCTTTGGCCTGATCCAGCAGGGCTATTCTTTCAGTGCCTTTGGTAGCCCTGACATTCATAATGCATTTTTGCTGGCTTTGGGGCCACTTATGGGATTATATGATTTCATTAGCATAACTATGTTCAACAGGTGTAAATTTTAAACTTTTAAAACTGGCCGAACTTGACTGCTAATAAATCCAGGGAGAGCTAATATATTTCACTCAACAGAGGCAAAATGGTTTACTTTGGCTTTCTCTGTGAGAGCAACACCTGGCTAAGAGTTTTCAATAAGATTTATAGTTGGCACTAGACCCGGTTCAGACAGTCAGAAGGCTCCATGCAATCATCTGCGAGAATGTCCTGGGTCACTGGCAGGCTCACAAACCAGCAGGGATTTTCTGCTTCAGGCACCAAAATATCTAAGGCTGGTCCTGCCCTGAAGTATGGGTGAAAATGTGCATCTTGAATTGTGTGCAGGAGATGAAAAAAAAAAATCAAACTACTCTGAGTAGGATCATAATGCAGTGAACTTTGAACAGGCAGAATAAGGCAGACAGGTAGCTAAAGCCTTGTCTGCCATTTTTCTTCTTTTAGGATTAAACATTTGGCTTTTTCCACACAAGTGAAGAATTATGGATGAACTGTAATTATGAATAAGACTCATTCTTGGGGGAATTAAAAATAACCGAACACAAAACTACACAAAGGACAGATTACCTTTCTAGTTTCCAAGGCATTTTGCTTTCTTAAAAAGATGATTGCAGCATGTTTTAACATATCTGTTCACAGTCATCAAACATACACCAAAAGCTTCTGTATACCAAATTTTCAGCTCCCCAACATAATTAAAGGGTTTTCCCCATTAATTATTTGCTTTGTATTTCAAACTAGGTGCATGCATATAAACAAATGTTCCAAAGCCTGTGAAGCAAAATATTAGGGGGCCACACCTCAAATAATAAATTCTTTCATGCTCAGAATACCTGTTTCCAAAATTATCTGCTGTGTTTAGTTGTATAACTCCCAAACATTTCATTGAGTGTGTACAGGAAAACTTACTAGAACTCAGGGTCACCCTTTGGAATTTATTGGCAGTAGCCAGGACCAACCAGTGTGTCACAAACTGCATTTTAACATATCCAATTAACCACCTTGAGATGTGATGACCACTGGCTTAGGAGAGACCTGTTGACTGAGTACAGTGGTACCTCGGTTTAAGAACAGTCCGGTTTAAGGACGATTTGGTTTACAAACTCCACAAAACCGGAAACAGTGTCTTGGTTTAAGAACTTTACCTCTGTCTAAGAATGGAATCTGAATGGTGGAAGGGTAGCGGCAGCAGGAGGCCTCATTAGGGAAAGCACACCTCAGTTTAAGAACAGTTTTGGTTTAAGAACGGACTTCCAGAATGGATTAAGTTTGTAAACCGAGGTACCACTGTACATGCCTCTCGATGTTGTTGTTGTTTAGTCGTGTCCGACTCTTCGTGACCCCATGATCAAGGTAGGGTGCTTCTGAATACCCTTGCTAAGCTGTGGTTGGTACACAGGGCATCTTTTGCCTTCATGGCCTGCTTGTGGACTTCCTGAAGGCATCAGACAGACCACTTCTGATGCTGGTAGAGGCAACACACAGAGACAGCAGAGCACAGGGATATCCAATCTGTCATGAAGCTACACAGATTTGGGTACATATAACCATGTTGCTGAGGGCACTGCAAATGTACAAATTAATGCTTTCACAAAGGGCTACCAAATCTCGTTCCAAAGAGAGGGCATTCCTAAGGACTATCACAAAGAGTTGTTTCAAATCAGTTGCAGGGTAAATGTATTTGGGGTTCCATCCTCAGACATACACAATAAGTAGTTGAGCAGGTCAATTTCAAGGGCTGCTGTGCTCAGGCTATCCTATTGCACTCCCAACCATTTGTCACTCTGCTCACAGCATCAAAACAAAGGCAAAATTGGTGTCCCTGGACTAGGGCCTGACTGGCAGCACCACTGCCCACCCACGATTCAGCGATCTTTGAATAGGCTCGTGCTGCCACTTCAGCGGCGCACTTCATTGCTGCAAAAGATGATCCATGGGATCAGGTTGCCAGACATATTAATGACAAATGTTGGACATGGCTAACTTAAAAGAAGAGAGTCTCCTCTCAGAGCTTAACCTTAACCAGTCTTGACATCAGTCAATTCTTTTTCTCCCCTCTTTTTTAAAAAAGCAAGATGTAGCTGACCTTGCAGGTCTGTATCAGTTCATCGCTGTTGGCATCTACATTTTACAGCTCTTGACAACTTGCAGGTCTCACAAGGCCACTTTTTAACATTTTGCCCACCTTCTAGAAACTGACTAGTGCTACCCGGTCACACAGGTACTGAAATACATTGCTAGGCATGCATGCCAGCCACACCACGGGGTGCTCTTTGGCATCCAGCTTTCACATTTGCTCCAAATATGCGTTCGATTCTTTGCGCAGGCAGCTGGGAGTCCAAAAGACCATTCCAAAAGTGATAAAGGATTGGTACGGCTTCGTAAGAGGCATTAACATGCTGGCTGTGTTCTGCTTCCACAGCTGGAGCCAGCAATGTTTCCAAAGACCAATTGCTGGAGACCATAGGAAGGGAGAAGGCTCTTGTGCTCGAATCCTGCACAGGCATCTGGTTGGCCACTGTGAGAGCAGGATGCTGGACTACACGGGCCATTGGCCTGATCCAGCAGGTTCTTATGCTCACGTGTCCCATAGAATTGGGTGGGTTTTTTTGTTTTTTTGACAATAATATTTATTACTTTTCAATAGACATAACAAAAAAGAAAATATGCAACAACACAATAGAGAAGTGAAAAAGAAGAAAAAAAGAATGACAAACTTAAAATACCTAAACAGAAAAAAAGGAAACTCAATTAATTAAATAAAATCTATTTTCATAAACATTTTAGTTGACTTCCTCTAATCTCCTCCATCTGAATTTCCTCTTAATTTGAATGTAGCAGTTTCCAATATCATTATTTCATAAAACAATATTACAGTCGTATTCCAATTTCTTTACCTTTCTTATAGTACATTTTCTTATTTATATATTTAAGTCTAATTTAATCCTAGGCCTGATTGGTTCTTTCAAGTGGTTACATATCTTTAATATTAGAATATTTGTTCAAATAGTCTTTAAATTTCTTCCAGTCTTCTTGGTAATCCTCTTCTTTCTGGTCGCGGATTCTCCCGGTGAGGTCCGCCAGCTCCATAAATTCCATCATCTTCATCTGCCATTCTTCTAACATTGGTAATTCTTGTGTTTTCCATTTTCCGGCTAGTAAATTCCTAGCAGCTGTTGTGGCATACAAAAATACTTTCACATCTTTTGGGGGCAGTTCAGTACCTACTATCCCAAGGAGAAAGGCCTCTGGTTTCTTAATAAATGTATATTTCATCTTTTTTTTTTAATTCATTATAAATTTTTCCCCCAGAAGTCCTTTACCTTGGAACAATAGAATTGTAGAGTTGGAAGGGACACTGAGGGTTGCCTAGTTCAACCATCTCAACTAAAGCAGATGGGCATCCAACCTCTGCTTAAAAACCTCCAAAGAAGGAGAGTCCTCCACCTTCCAAGCAAGTCCATTCCACTGTCAAACAGCTCTTACCATCAGAATGTTCCTCCTGATGTTTAATAATAATAATAATAATAATAATAATAATAAATTTTATTTATACCCCGCCCTCCCCAGCCAAGACCGGGCTCAGGGCGGCTAACACCAAAATAAAAACAATTGATTGAAATACAACTTAAAAAACAAGATTAAAATACAACATTAAAACATTAAAATGCAGCCTCATTTCAGTGGAAACTTAAATCAAAAACTTTTGGGGGATGAAAATGTCAAGTCTTCACCAACGCTAACTATCCAGACTGGTCCTACGTGGGCCAGAAAAAAGCCAGGGAAGTCCCCAAATAGGAGTTGGGTATGTTTAGTGGGAACCTCCTTTCTTATAACTTGAAGCCATTGCTTTGGGTCCTACCCTCTGGGGCGGGAGAATACAAGCTTGCTCCATCTTCCATGTGACAGTGCTTTGCATAATTGAAAGTGGCTGTTTTATATCCTCTCAGTCTTTTCTGTTCTGGGCTAAACATACCCAACTCCCTCAACTATTCCTTATAAGTTTTGGTTCCCAGACCCTTACAAACACTCATCATTGTTATTTTTATTTATATGCATGCAACACCTGCAACATACATTTCTCTGGGTAGCATAAAAAAATAAGTGGAAGGTAACTGAATGAAAATATAAACATAACATTATTAAAAGGGGGGCACATAAGTACACCATCAGAACTTGCTCCACTTCCTTAATTTTTTAAAAAAATAAACAACAGAAACCTGGGTTACTTCAGTTATTTAAACAGCCTGGGTGAACAGAAAAGTCTTTATGTAGCACTAGGAAGACCACAGAGAAGATGCTAGGTGAGTTTCCCTGAGAAGCCTTATCTGTAATCTGAATGCCACTGTGAGGAAGGCCCTCTTTCTGGAGGTTGCCCACCTCACTTTATTTGGAGTGAGGGAGGTGGGACACAGTGAGGTTTTGTGTTCTTCTCTTGCCTCACAGGTTTTGCAGGTACTGAAGCACCATAAAAGTCTTCAAAGGTCTGGGCACAGATGGTTGGCCATAACCATACCCATAGCCTGATTCACATCACACTGACAAAATCTATCTGTGGCTCCAATGAGTACTTTTTTAAAAAGCTAAAACAGTCAAAAGAGCATCTGAGGATCATGGGTTCAAGCACTGCAGGGAGTTGGACTATATGACCCTCATGGTCCCTTCCAGCTCTATAATTCTATGATTCTATGAATTCTAGCCAAATGCGATGAGTTGGTGACCAACCAACAGAGTTTGAATACAAAACTGATTGAATGACCTCAGGGTTCTCCCATCCAAGTACTAACCAGGCCTGACCCTGCTTAGCTTCCGAGATCAGACGAGATCAGGCGTGTTCAAGGTAGTATGGCCTACGGCACCCGATATTCCCAGGCGGTCTCCCTCAGACAGGATTGATGGAAGTCAAAAATCTGAATAAGATGTAAAAGTATGTTTAATTACTGTTGAAAATGATATGTTAAAAACACACACACACACACACACACACACACACACACACACACATATATATATATATATATATATATATATATAATGAGCTCAGGGTTCACACCCATGGAGGTAGTGTTCTCGAATGCTTTTTTCTTGGGGGACACATACCCCTAAACATTTTGTGAATCTAAGTTTGGCCTCATTGAGGGGCAGTATTTCAATATGAGCAGGAAAATGAGAGTACCTCTAAACATTTTTTAAAAGAAAAAAAGCACCGGTGTTCTCTCTTTCTTCCCTCAGCCTTTCATTCACTCTGTCCTCCTGCCCCTAGAGGCCCCTCCCTTCCATTAAACATTTTCCTAGTCCTTGGACAGCCATCCGTGATTCTTTCTTCTCCATATTCCCTAATGGGTTCTTGGTTTGCCGCTATGGTTCTTCACTGTTTCAAACAAAGAAGAAGAACATAATTACCTTTCTGGATCAGATCAAGGCTAATCGAGGTTCCCTATTACCCCTGCTCCCCATGGTGACCAACCAGATGTCTCTTGGAGCTTCTGAGCTCTTGCTGCTCTTGTGGATTGCTCACTTTCTGCTCTACATTGAGTTCTTCTCAGTGGAGGTGATGGATCGGGGGACACATCTCAGAGCCAAGGAGAAAAGGAGATCTCAGCAAGAGGGCAGCGAAAGAGGAGCAGTGGAAGAGTTGGAAACAATTCTCAAGCTTTCTTAAACTTGTTTGGTTCTACAGCATATGTGACTGGATGGGCAAATATCTGTCTAGACAGCAGATTAGAGTTTAATTAGGTTTCTGTTCATTTCTACAACACAGGCAGAAGACTGTATTTAGAGGCTTTTGCCATCTTCAATGCAGGCTTATTTGTGTCTTGTTCATTTACAGCATATGCTTCTTTTCTTACCACACCCAGAACCTGATTTCTGTATTTAGAGAAGTAATTTGCCAATGACTTTTGTTTGTGAGTTTGCTTCCCTTTATTTGCATGGCGCCTTGATTTTTAAAGTAGGGAGTGCTGAGCTGTTTCACTATGTGAGCTAAAGAGGGACAAAGCTTCAACTTATGCAGCCTTCTGCAAAGCTAACAAGACTGAGCTAGCCATGTTGTTGGTTGAACCTGGTGGGGGCCAAGCAATTCATTTGTGAATGATCTGTTGGTGTTCTCTGTCCTTTCTTCCTGCTCTCCGTTCTTTCTATTTTTTTTTTTGTTTAAATGATATTTATTAAAGTTTCAAAAAATACAAGAAATACAAAATACAGAAAAAAGAGTAAAGTTATTTAAAATATAACAAAAAAGAAAAAAAGAAAAAAGAAACATACAAAATAAAACAGTTAAAAAAAACATTAATTTTCCAAACCTATCTTCCCTAGACTTATTTCCCTGGACCTCCTCATACCTCCCTTTTTCGTATTCCAGTTCAGTTTGTTAGTTCAGCAAATCCTTACCATTAAACTTTTGCCCAATTGTAAACCTTTTTTTTCATATCTCTTAAAGCATTACAGCTAAAAACCTCTTAGTTTCTATCCAACATCCTTCTAAGATTCATTAATTTTACAATATTTCTGTAAATAGTCTTTAAATTTCTTCCAGTCTTCTTTCACCGACTCTTCTCCCTGGTCTCGGATTCTGCCAGTCATTTCTGCCAATTCCATGTAGTCAATCACCTTCATCTGCCATTCTTCCAGAGTGGGTAGATCTTGTGTCTTCCAATACTTTGCAATGAGTATTCTTGCTGCTGTTGTAGCATACATAAAAAAAGTTCTGTCCTTCTTTGGCACCAATTGGCCGACAATGCCCAGGAGAAAGGCCTCTGGTTTCTTCAAGAAGGTATATTTAAATACCTTTTTCAGTTCATTATATATCATTTCCCAGAAAGCCTTAATCTTTGGGCACGTCCACCAAAGGTGAAAGAATGTACCTTCAGTTTCTTTACATTTCCAACATTTGTTGTCAGGCAAATCTGCTCTCCGTTCTTTCTAACTGCCCCCCTCCAATTCCTTTGTCAAGAAGTTGAACGTTAAACTCATCTTTTGTGGGCAAGGTAGCCACTGACATACTCCAAGCTGTTGAACATGTCCCGAGGAGCAAGATAATATCACTTTGCAGGACATAACAGTGCTCTGAGCTGAGCAAACTATAGTAAGGAAGAACTTGTACAGTGGTTACAGGCGCTTCAGGTTACATACACTTCAGGTTACAGACTCCGCTAACCCAGAAATAGTACCTCGGGTTAAGAACTTTACTTCAGGATGAGAACAGAAATCACGTGGCGGCAGTGGGAGGCCCCATTAGCTAAAGTGGTGCTTCTTTTTTTTTTTTTTTAAAAGCAATTTATTGGATTTTACAATAGGAATAAATGTAATAAACAATATAACATTCGTCTTAACATAATTTCACATTTTCTTTGGACTTCCTCACATCTCCCGCTCCCACCTTCATCATTATAACATTTTGTCAGCAATTTATCATCTTATTTAAATTCTTATATCTCTTCGATATTTCATGATCTTATAGTTCTCATAAAGAGTTAAACTTTCACAATTTTTCTTATTTTCTTAAAAACTTCTAAGTTAAGTGGTGCTCAGTTATTTAGACAAGCATCTTATTCAGCATTCAATCAAATCACAATGTTTTTGCAGGTAGTTCTTAAATTTCTTCCAATCCTCCTCGATTCTCTCTTCTCCCAGGTCACGGATTCTGCCAGTCATTTCAGCCAGTTGCATATAGTCTATCAGTTGCATCTGCCATTCTTCCAGTGTGGGTAGATCTTGAGTTTTCCAATGTTTTGCGAGTAGTATCCTTGCTGCTGTTGTTGCATACATAAAAATGTTTGGTCCTTCTTTGCCACCCCTTGGCTGACAATACCCAAAAGGAAAGCCTCTGGTTTCTTAGTGAAAGTATATTTAAATACCTTTTTCAGTTCATTATAAATCATTTCCCAGAACGCCTTCACTTTAGGGCAGGTCCACCAGAGGTGAAAGAACGTTCCTTCACACTCTTTACATTTCCAACACTTGTTATCAGACAGGTGGTAAATTTTTGCGAGTTTGACTGGGGTCATATACCATCTATAAATCATTTTCATTACATTTTCTTTCAAAGCATTGCATGCAGTGAATTTCAGTCCGTTACTCCACAGCCTTTCCCAGTCCTCAAACATAATATTATACCCAATATCCTGTGCCCACCTTATCATAGCCGATTTAACCATTTCATCTTGTGTATTCCATTCCAACAGCAAGTTATACATCCTTGAAAGTATCTTAGTCTTTGGTTCTAACAATTCTGTTTCTAATTTCGATTTCTCCACCTGGAACCCTAGTTTCTTATCATTTTTAAAAACTTCCTTAATCTGAGCATAATGTAACCAATCTCGCACTTTGTCTTTCATTTTCTCCAAACTCTGCAATTTCCAATTGTCTCCATCTTTTCTAGTATTTCCCAATATTTTGGCCATTTGGCCTCCATATTGGGTCTTTTTCGGGCCGTGGCTTCCAAAGGTGAAAGCCACCTTGGTGTTTTATTTTCCAGCAAGTCTTTATATTTTGTCCAGACATTAAACAGTGATTTTCTAACAATATGGTTCTTAAAGGCCTTATTTGCTTTAACTTTGTCATACCATAAATATGCATGCCATCCAAAAACATTGTTAAACCCTTCCAAATCTAACACATCAGTGTCTTCAAGAAGTAGCCAATCTTTTAGCCAGCAGAACGCTGCGGCTTCGTAATACAACTTTAAGTCCGGCAGGGCAAAGCCCCTCTTTGTTTTGCATCAGTTAGTATCTTAAACTTAATTCTGGGCTTTTGCCCTGCCAGACAAACTTCGAAATGTCTCTCTGCCACTTCTGAAAGCACTCCATTTTGTCCAAAACCTGAAGTGTTTGAAATAAAAACAACATTCTTGGCAATACATTCATCTTAATCGCAGCAATTCGGCCTAACAAAGAAAGTTTCAATTTTGACCAACTGTCTAAGTCTCTCTTAATTTCTGTCCAACATTTTTCATAGTTATCCTTAAATAGACTTAGATTTTTGCTGTTATGTTTACCCCTAGGTATTTTACTTTTTAACCACATTAAGTTCCGTCTCATTCTGAAACCGTTCTGACTCTGTCTCAGTCAAATTTTTTCCCAAAACCTTGGTTTTCTGTTTATTTAATTTAAATCCCGCCACCCGACCAAAGTCATTAATCAATTGTAATACTCTTTTCGTACTAGGCTCTGGCTTCTGCAAGGTCAAAACCAGGTCATCTGCAAAAGCTTTTAGTTTATATTGTTTCTGGCCAACCTGAATTCCTTCCACCAACTGGTCCCCTCTAATCATGTTCAATAGCACTTCCAGAACCGAAATAAATAACAAAGGGGGATAGGGCAGCCTTGTCGTGTCCCTTTTTCAATTTTGAACTCTTCTGTAACCACATTATTAACTATCAGTTTAGCTTTCTGTTCTGAATATATCGCCTCAATCCCATTCTCAAAACCCCGTCCCACTCCCATCTCTTTTAAGTTTCCCATCATAAATTTCCAAGAAATATTATCAAAGGCCTTCTCCGCATCTATAAAAATTAAAACTGCTTTTGTATTTATGTCAGTTTGGAGAAGTTCCAAGATGTCAATAATGTTCCTTGTGTTAGCAAACAGATGTCTACCTGGGAGAAAACCGGCCTGGTCCTTATGAATTACTTCATTTAAAACTTTTTAAATCTACTTGCCAAAATATCTGCAAATATTTTGTAATCCACATTTAAAAGGGAGATGGGACGGTAGTTCTTCAGTTGTGTCTTTTCAGCTTCTGACTTTGGTATCAATGTGATAAAGGCTTCCTTCCACGAATCCGGTGCCCTCTTCCCCTCCATAATTTCATTGCTAACCTCCATCAAGGGTTGTATCAAATAGTCTTTTAGTGTCTTATAATACTTGGAGGTCAGCCCGTCTGGCCCTGGAGATTTGCCAAGTTGCATGTTCTGAATAGCTTGTTCAATCTCCTGTCGTGTTATTTTAGAGTTCAGGGTTGTCCTATTTTCTTGTGACAGTTTAGATAATCCATTTTTGGCAAAAATTGTTTAATCTCGACTTCGTCTTGCGGCCCTTGGGTATATAGTTTTTAAAATATCTCTGGAAACACTTTCTAATGTCCACTGGATTCTGAATGTTTCTTCCATCGACCTCTAAATTTGTAACCGTATTTAATCTTTGTCTTCTCTTCAACTGCCAAGATAGCAGTTTTCCACATTTATTCGCCGACTCAAACGTTTTGTGTTTCATTAATTTAATCTTCCATTCAATTTCCTGATTTATCAATTTAGAATATTGTGTTTGATACAGTTTAATTTCTCTCAGAGTTGGCTGTGACTTTGGATTTACTCTTAATTTCTTCTCTAATTCTTTTATTTTATCCAAGATCTTGTCTTTTTCTCATTTTGTGTTTTTTCCTTACTACATTCTGTTGTATCAAGAATCCCCTCATGACAGCTTTGCTTGCGTCCCAGACGATTCTTTTTCCACCGAATTATTCATGTTTATCTCGAAATAGTCTTTCAAAACTTTTTGGGCCTTCTTGGTAGTTTCCTGATCTCTAAACAAATTGTCATTCATCTTCCATCTAAAGGATCCAGTTGGTAGTAGTGTCATATCCATCTTTACTGCGTTGTGGTCAGAGCAGGTCTTTGGGCAGATTTCCACTTTTCTAACCCTAGGTGCCAGGCCCCTAGAAATCCATATTTGGTCGATTCTTGTCCAGGTCAGTTGGGCTTCAGAAAAGAATGTTCCTTCTCTACCTAGTGGGTTCTTTGTTCTCCAAATGTCAATCAAGTCCATATTGTCAGTCATTTCAAAAAGGTTTTAGGTAGTCTGCCATCTTTTGTGACATTTTGACTTTGCGACTTGTCCATGTTAGTTGATACTGACCCGTTCATATCTCCCATCATTATGATGTTGTTGTAATCCAGATGATCCAGCATTGTCCCCTGCAACTTCTTGTAAAATTCCGATTTCCCTTCATTGGGTGCATAGATTCCTAATATCAGCAGTTTCTCTCCTTGATATTGTATCTCAATAGCCAAAATCCTTCCATGTTCATCTTTAAATAGAAATTTAGGTGACAGGCTCTCTTTTGCATATATCACCACTCCTCTCTTCTTCACTTTGTCCGACGAAATGAATTCCTGGCCCAATCTTTTATTTATTAGCACTTTTCTGTGGAGCCTCGTCACATGTGTTTCTTGTAAACAGATAATGTCCAATTGTTCTTTTTTTAATATATGAAATATTTTCTTCCTTTTCTCCGGAATGTTACAACCATTAATATTCCAGCTCAACAGTTGCAGAGACATCCTGGATCTATCTGGTTATTTCTCCCGGGGTGGTGTCTTCTCTGAATCTTCAAGTTCCCCAGGTGCAGGTATTAATGCTGGCTTTGCCCCAGGCCCAGAAGGTAGTTCAATTCCTTTTTGTAGGTCCTCTCCGTATGTAGCCAAAAATTTATCTCTCTCTTCCAATGTTCTAATTTTGACCTTTCTCGCTCTAAAGGTAAAAGATAATCCTTGGGGAAATTCCCACCTGAATGGAATTGCGTTGCTCCTTAATAATTTAGCAAGTTCAGAGTAGGCGGCTCTGAGATCCAACAGTTGTCTTGGAATATCTTTATATATCTCAATTCTTCTATCCAAAACCTCCAGTGACTTTTCGTAATGTAGACCCAAAATCTTATCCCTTTCCTCCTTCGATCTCAATGTAATCAAACAATCCCTGGGCCTCTCCTTCTTTATAAATCTTCCAAGTCTGAAAGCTGACACAATTTTAAAGTCCTTTTCTTCCAAATTCCAGAACTTGGAAAGTTCTTTGGTCAAAAACTCAGTTAGATTTCCTTCTTCTGCCTCTTGTAATGATCTAATCCTCAAATTATTCTCACGATTTCGCAGTTCTATCATAGAAAGATAAGTCTGATGTTCCCCAACTTGTTTAGTGAGTGGTCTTACCTCTTGCTCTAAATTTTCCAATTTTTGTCTGGTATCCTCAGCCAATTTTCGATTTTCTACTGAGGCCTCCGTTAACTGTCCAATTGCTTGTGTATTCTGTCCCACCTGTGTAGTTAATTTGTTTAGACAATCTGTATTTTTATCAATCTTTGCTGATTGCGCATCTACTTTCTTGTCCAAAGCTTCCAATTTTTCAAAAAATTTTTCTAGAACAGAAACAGATGCTCCTGAGGCCATATCTTCCAATTGTAACTGCTCTGCTTCACCCTCTCCCTCTTTTGCCTGTGGCAAAGCAGCTTCTTCCAGTTGTACTTCTGAGGGCAAAGTAGGCACAGATGATCTACGTGTCTGCGAGGCTGAGGTTAGAGTTGTTAAGGTTGTTTGTCTAACTCTTCCTCTTCTTCTTGTACCACTCATTCCAATGTTATCTATCAGTCAAGGTCACACTGAGTTTTCCCACAGGAATAGAAAGGCCCAGAGCAAGCAAACAACAAGGGAATCGAAAGTAAATGTATTTGTAAAGTCACTGTTTTAATCCAATCCTCTAGAGGGAGCTTAAGATGTCTTTCAGAGTCTGATTTAATGTCCCAGAACCTTCCAATATAAGTATTAAGCAGAGTTTAAAAGTAATCACTTTGTTGCAGACAGTGCTTATTTGTCTCCAGAAAGAATGTTTCAAATTTAAAAGGTCTCAATACCCTCAGATTGTTGCAAGTTCTAATATACAGTATCCAACTCAACACTGACAGCTCACTCTTACAGTGCTCAAGCAGTCCTGACTCTGGGTTTCACCTTCCAATTTGTAATCCAATAAAAGGGGAGAAGTCAAATACAAATAAAAAGTTCAAATCTTTAGCTTACTGGTTTTACTTTAAATTGCAAGTTCCATAGATGCTTGGCTGTGCAAAATTTAAAATCTCTTTCTTTCAGCCTCCACTCCTCCACCTTAGGTTGCTTTTTTTTTTTCAAGTTCAATGGCTGCGGAAGACGGACTTCCTGTTTCCACGTCTCTCCGCTTTCAGCCAAGTTCAAGCCGAATTAAACCTTCTCATTTAAAATTTGTAATTCCAAGTGATTCAGTCTTTACTCACGAGTAAGTTGTTTTTCTTCCAAGTCCGAATTTTGACAGGAAAAAGGATCAGCGCTCACCGGCAGCAGCAGCGCGGCTTCACTCCGCTGACTGTGAAACGGCTCTCAGCACCGCAACCCCCCTCCACGCTCCGGAGCCCCTTACGAGGCTCCTTCTGCAGTTGGAGGGCTGCTCGTGGCGCCCGCCGAGCCTCAGGACCCCAGGCTCTTGCTGCCTGGGGTTTTCCTCGTTGGGTCTCCGCTTCGCCGTAGCGGACGACCCGATTTCAGCGGAGCCTCCTCTCCCGTCGGGAGAAGACCGCCATTGCCGTTCGCGCCGCCCCCCGGAAGTCCACTAAAGTGGTGCTTCAGGTTAAGAACAGTTTCAGGTTAAGAACAAACCTCTGGAACAAATTACAGTGGTACCTCGGGTTAAGTACTTAATTCGTTCTGGAGGTCCGTTCTTAACCTGAAACTGTTCTTAACCTGAAGCACCACTTTAGCTAATGGGGCCTCCTGCTGCCGCTGCACCGCCAGAGCACGATTTCTGTTCTTATCCTGAAGGAAAGTTCTTAACCTGAAGCACTATTCCTGGGTTAGTGGAGTCTGTAACCTGAAGTGTATGTAACCTGAAGCGTATGTAACCTGAGGTACTACTGTATATCTAGAGGCTTACACTACAGAATCAATGCTTATTTATTCCAGTCTTCCGCATAATAACCATTTTGTGTCACATGACCTGGAAAAACTGTCTGCGGACAAACGGCAGTTCCCTCGGCCTGTAAAGCAAGATGAGCACCACAACCCCAGAGTCGTTCACGACTGGAATTAACTGTCAGGTGTCCCTTTACCTTTGCCTTTTTTCATCATGGCAAGTCTTTATATAGTCACAGGCTAAGCAACTGCTACCAGTCTGCATAATCTGCCACCAGCCGTTAGCTGAGCTGCTGTGATGTCATGGAATGATGAGGGACATTTTAAGCACTGAGGACCATTAGAGGATCTGTGTGACCAGAAGACAAGAAAACTTCACAGCAGGCTTAGACAATGTAGTGGTAAGAGAACAAGCAGTGGGCCCTAGTTTAAATCTAGCCGGTGTAGTGCAGGCCTTGGGAGATCAGGGTTCAAATTCCTGTTCTGTTGAGCACAGGCACTGAACCCAAACAAGAAAAGATCCTATCCTTACCCTGTGTATTATCATTAGAGACAGGTGGACTGTCCTGTTGGCTTGGAAATATATCTCAACAATAGAAGCTGGCAGTAACACTATGTCATTGTCTACAGTTCTTTAACAATAAGGGTCTTGACATCTTTTGCTTTTGGCTGGATACACCTGAAGAGAGAGAAATAATGTTGCCCCAATACTCTGATTTTAAACTACCACCAGTAGTTTCCCATGTCTGCATGTCTCCCTCCACAACAGGGGTGGAGAAGCTGTAGACATCCAGAAGTTCTGCAACCACAAGTCCCATCACTCTGTACTGTACCATTACCAATGCTGGCTGGGACATTTAGAGGGTGACATGTTCCCCACCTCTTATTTCCACATGCATGGTCAATAAAGAACTTTCATATCTCAACGTAGCATGTTCATGTCTCCTTATAGCACTTATAGCTTTATGGAAGTGAGCCGATGGCAACTTACAAGTGTCAGGAGCAATGCCTCAACACCTTCTACATGTGCCGCGTCAGAAAGATTTTGGGCATTTCATAGCAGGACAGAGTTTCAAACAAAGATTTGATCTCTCAGTCCAAACTGGGGCTGCCTTAACTTCGTTCAGCCCAATTCCAGGTTTATCCAAATCAGTCTGATTCAGTTTGGGATCAGAGATTTGAGCAGAGCCAGTGTACAACCTTAGTATTTTTAAACTGCTTTCTGGCTGGACCTCACAAAGTGATTTAAATTAAATTATTCCAACCATAGGCATCATTTTTTTTAAAAAAAATGTTTACATGTGTGAACCAGCATGTCCTCTTGGATTCAATAGATTTAGCAATTTTTAAAAAGTATGATAGAAGAATAGAGAATAAGAAAAAGCATAAAATAAATGTATGGTGGGAGAGGGGGAGCATTCACAGACAAACCTTCTTCGTTGCTCCTGTCTCTCATTCTTTGATTTAGTACCACAGAAGTTCAGCCATTGATGCGACAACTCTTCTTTTGATTAGCTGAGCCAGCAATGCACTGCACTGTCACTCTGCCTACGGAGAATTAAATTTGAGCTCATGAGAACAGGTTTGTTTTGTTCTAAATTAGTTTTTGTTTTGTCTCCTATACACATACTCACCTCGTTGCTGTGCTGATGACATCAAGTGGAATTATGGTGGAATTCAAAGGTGTTTCACAGCCCTCTGACAGTAGCAGCGGTGGCGGTTGCTTAATTTTTAATCTGATGAGCCTGTGCTACTAATGTAATGTGCTTGTACGTCTTCAAGTGTTTGTGTATCATTGGGAAAAAATACTGCAGAACCCTGAAAGTGGAAAAAGAGAAATAGATCAAAAGCAGAACCAGAAATCACGATGAACACGCCTTCATCTAATGAACCTTCTTTAAGAAACAATTGAACCTGTGGTTGTGTTTCTGCAACCACAGCCAACTCTGACCAGTTGGAACCAAGCCAGATAATCATCAAAATGACCAGAAGAGAAGAGAAATATCAAGAAGAGTGGAAAAAATTTAAAGACTATTTGAATAAATACTGTAACATTAAAAATTAGAAATTACTTGAAAGTACTAAATAGGTCTAGGATGAAATTAAGAGTTAGTAAAATAATTGAGATTTAGGACCTTAAGAAAAGTTAAGAAATTTTATTTTAATTGGAATATTGTGTTTTAATATTGATATTAGAAAACTGCTACATTTAAATACAAGGAAATTCAAATGGGAGGGCTCAGAGGAAGTCAAAACCATGTTTATGATGTTAGAAGTTTAAATAACCAATTAATTTGTATTGTCTGGGTGTTAGTTGACATGATTTTTTCCCCCTGTTTTCTTTTTTGTTTATATTTGTGCTTTTGTTTTTTTTTTGTTTTTTGTTGTAGTATGTGTTATATTTGTAAGAAACTTAATAAAAACTATTTAAAAAAGAGATAATCATCAAAATGATAATCTCTTCTGACAGTGAAAACCAAATTGTAATGTTATTAATGCTAGGTGACTGTGAAAGAGTATGTACATGTTGGAATTAAGAGCTAACCACGATGGCTGCACTGGGATTCTAACTCACGAAATTCTAACTCATGTCTGGACAAAGGAACTTCATCATGAAGAAGATTATACATACCATATCTCTTTGCATGAAGATAATGGATTTTCTGAACTCACATGGCTCATAGCTATTTTATGCTGGACTGAGAGAAAAGGGCATCATCCCCCAGGTGAAGAAGCAGGATTGGTCTGTAGAAGATACAAGATAAAATCCTGTCCATTCACACTCCCATTTCTGTACTGACAAAAACAATAACATTGTTCACTTATACAGGTTACCATATCAGAGACCAGTCTCCCCCAGATGGCGTAGCTGAATCCATTGGTTTGGGTCCTATCCTCCAGAGCAGGAGAAAGCAATCTTGTTCCATCTTCCATGTGACAGTCCTTAAGATACAGCAGGGGCTGTTGTAGTAACTGCGGGAGTAGAATTCCATGTTACAGAGCAGGGGCCTTGGGAAATGAAAAGTGGGAATAAAAATTATATCTTCTATCAGATATTCAGCAGGATTGAATGGATATACTTTTAATGATGCACATATGTATTGGCTATGATAATATCTTTTTTTTTAATGATATTTATTAAAGTTTCACATGAAAAGAGACACATCAATAAAAAAAATTAAAAAATAAAAAGAAAAATACACAATACAAAATACAAAAAAACAAACAAAAAACAGTTAAAAACAATTCCATCTTTTCATCACTACTTTTAGATTTACTTATTTCCTGGACCTCCTCATACCTCCCTCTTTTGTATTCCAATTCAGTTTGTTTGTCCAGCAATTCCTTTCCCTCCTTTTTAATCCCAATCCTTAATCTTAATATAATATAACATTAAATTTTTACCTATTAAAAGCCAATTTTCCATTCTTTTAACCTTTTTAATCCTAATCCTTAATCTTGATCTATATATAACTTTAAAGCCTGTACAGCTAGAAGCCACTTAATTTCAATCCATCATCACTCTAACATTCTTTAATTTTGCAATATTTCTGTAAGTAATCTTTAAATTTTGCAATATTTCTGTAAGTAATCTTTAAATTTCTTCCAATCTTCTTCCACCGACTCTTCTCCCTGGTCACGGATTCTGCCAGTCATTTCCGCCAATTCCATATAGTCCATCAATTTCATCTGCCATTCCTCCAGTGTGGGTAGCTCTTGTGTCTTCCAATACTTTGCGATGAGTATTCTTGCTGCTGTTGTTGCATACATAAAGAAAGTTCTATCCTTTTTTAACACCGATAGGTTAACAGTGGCTATGATAATATCATCTGTTCTTCAGAAGAGTAAAAATATGGGAGAATAATCTCAGAATGTGTTAATTAGATTCTGTTGCATGTTTTATTTTTCCTGTTCCCCCCAACTATTTTTGTAATTTGGAAAAAAAAAATTCCAATATTTTTTAACAATATTTTTTAGAAAAGAATTAGAATCTGTTGTTTGGGTGGAGATTTATGGGGATCTAAGCTTTCCCCCTTCTATGTTGCTATCAACAATTGGACTCTTTTCTTTTTTCCCATATAATCTATTCGGTGGAGTCAACAAAATATTGTAAATCTGTCCTGTCTTGCAGCATGGTAATGGTAATGGAGTAACTTCACTCTCCTCCCCCACCCCGATTAAGTACAAATACGACTGCAATGAAAGGACTACCCTGATGCTTGATAGCTTGATCTGGCCAATTATGCAGTCATGGGTCTTCTCATACATTGATTATTTTAACATTGTTACCTGCTTTTGGGGGAAGAGCAGTAGGTTATAGATCGACATCAGTAGATACAGTGGTACCTCAGGTTAAGAACTTAATTCGTTCTGGAGGTCCATTCTTAACCTGAAACTGTTCTTAACCTGAAGTAGTCTTTGCTTCTTCCAGTATACAGTGGTACCTCTGGTTACGTATTTAATTCGTTCGGAGGTCCATTCTTAACCTGAAACTGTTCTTAACCTGAAGCACCACTTTAGCTAAAGGGGCCTCCCGCTGCTGCCATGCCCCGCAATTTGTGTTCTCATCCTGAAGCAAATTTCTTAACCCAAGGTACTATTTCTGGGTTAGCGGAGTCTGTAACCTGAAGTGTATGTAACCTGAAGCATATGTAACCCGAGGTACCACTGTAATCTGTGGAATTAAGTGAAATGGAACCAGAAGTGAGGCTCTGTGAATCCAGAGGTGTATCTACACTTCAGACACCTTCAACCAGAGTCAATATTTGTTCACGCTCCCCAAGAATCCCTGATAACTGTCATCTGTGCAACAGATCTCCAGCAAAAGCTCTCCGTGCTCATGCTAAACTACAGTTCCCAAACCCCTTTGGAAAAAGCTATACCTGAACTAGTATATTTTTGTAGTAACATTTACTCTTTGAGGCATTCCCATATGACGTCAGTTGAAATATTACTGTCTGGAAATGTTCCCCTACTAGGTCCATCAGTCTCTGTGTGTACATTATTACTTATATCCACACTACAAACATGTTTTAGAAACCCTGCAGAATACGAAATAGAAGCTTAGGTTTTCAAGTTGAGATTGAATTTTTAAATTTTATTTTAAGCAGCAAAATAATATATTTTCTCTCTCTTTGAGAATATAATTGCTATTTATTTCTTTAAGCAGAACTCCACCTTCATTTTATGAAACCTGGATGTTAACATTTAAGGCTACCAATGAGGTAAGCTGGTTTTTCTTGTCAAGTTCACTGCGCACAAACATCAATTTTACTCCTTTTCAAGTAAAATGTGTGCCACACTATGCAGGATGATATATTAGCACAGTATGTTTGATTGGTAAGAAATGATAAGTGGAACAGATAAGCAGGGATCGTCCAAATCATACTAGAATCAAAAGGGTTGAGAGATGACTGCATCTGTGTGACAAAATGGAGCATTCTGGGCCCTCCTGACAAAGAACCAACTGTAAGGTGCCAAGGGATTCAAAATGGGGATTTATTCTGCAGAACCCATGTGCTTTCTGCCATAAAGCACCAAAACAGCTTCCATGTATGGAAGGGGTACTGGCTTTATCTTTCCCACAACGCAGCTCTACCTATATAATAAAAAAAGAAGGTACGGCAGCTCCTTAGCCCAGCCAGAACTAGTGCTTAGCCAAAATATTCAGCTCAACTATTGGGAGGCTTTTGTGCAGCTGGACAAAAATCCCATCGAAGACTGATTTGCGGGGAGGGGCTCTTAACCCTAATTGTGAGGTAGTTGCATATTTTCCTTACTTTTCCTTTTTCCTTGCCTTTCTTTTTAAACTTACCACTACTTGGTAATCCCTCTACTTTGCCCATCTCTGACTTTGATTCCCTGAATATCCCACACAAATGGTCCCACAAAAGTGGTGTAACTGGCACACCTTTAGCCCAAACAGGTGAGACGAGGAACCAGTTCTGGCCTGTACAATTGTGGAGCCCTCAGTCTGAAGCATTTGTCCAGCTCTGTAGTCATGCAGAATGCATGGCTTAATCTTGCCTTCCTTACCTGCTTGAGCTGAAACCTGCCTGCCTGCCACCCCAGTTTCAAGAATATATTTTGCCCCTTGCCCTTAGTGATTTGATCTGCCTGTGCCAAATCCAGACCCCTAGCTGTGTCTTGTCTTGGAGATTTTAAAAACCTGACACCACATTAGGCTTCCCACATGTTCCTAACGCACTCATAGAAACAGATCTTTTTATAGGCTGAACTGGTTAATGGCGAAGCCTCATTAACATCACTGAGGTTATTGGGGTTCTACTTTTGATTGAAATGTGAAGGAAAATAAAAATATAAACTCCTGATGTCACCAGAGAACCCAAGTAATATGATGGTTATTTTGTTGTTATCATTTTTTATTACAAAGTTATTTTTATGGCTCTGGTTTTGTATCATAAGCTTGTAGGGATTTTTAGAAGGGTTATTGCTGGGTTTTTGCCATCTAAAGCTCCAGAAAAGATTTTAAATGAATGAATGGATAGGTACATTGTTGATGTTCATAGGTAAAGTAAAAAAATTCCTTCCAGTAGCACCTTAGAGACCAACTAAGTTTGTTATTGGTATGAGCTTTCGTGTGCATGCACACTTCTTCAGATACCATGCACACAAAAGCTCATACCAATAACAAACTTAGTTGGTCTCTAAGGTGCTACTGGAAGGAATTTTTTTATTTTGTTTTGACTACGGCAGACCTACACGGCTACCTACCTATAAATAGGTAAAGTAGCCACTCTAGTAAAATGTTGTCTCCTTGAAGCTGACCCAGAAACTCCAGCGGGCGTAGAAGGCTGCGGTGATGCTCCTTGCGAGGTCCTTGCTGTGGGACCACATTCATCCAGTGCTATACCAGCTGCACTGGCTCCTGGAGGAGAACAGGGTCAGGTTTAAGGTGCTGGCTTTGACCTTTAAAGCCCTTCACGGCCTAGGACCCTTGTACCTACAGGACCTCCTCTCCTGGTATGCCCTGAGGAGGACCTTACAGTCCACAAATAATAATATCTTGGAGGTCCCGGGCCTCAAGGAGGTTAAACTGGCCTCAACCAGGGCCAAGGCCTTTTCGCCTTTGGCCCCAGCCTAGTGGAATGCTCTATCGCAGGAGACCAGGGTCCTGCGGGACTTGATAGCCTTCCACAGGGCCTGCAAGACAGAGCTGTTCTGCCTGGCCTTCGGTCCAGGCCCAGTTTGACCCCCCTCTATGGGACCCTGTAAGTTACCTCTTCGGCCCGCTTATCAGCTCATGTGGGACCAATATGGATAGCTGGCCCTGATGAATACTGGAGGTTCCCGACCCCTGTGGTTGTAATTTCATGGGCAGTCATTTAATTTTATCCTGATTCTAATTTTTAAGCTGTATTTTAGTCAATTGTTTGATTGTGTTTTAATGTACACTGGTACCTCTGGTTATGTACTTAATTCGTTCCGGAGGTCCGTTCTTAACCTGAAACTGTTCTTAACCTGAAGCACCACTTTAGCTAATGGGACCTTCTGCTGCTGCTGCTGCGTTGCCAGAGCACGATTTCTGTTCTCATCCTGAAGCAAAGTTCTTAACTCGAAGTACTATTTCTGGGTTAGTGGAGTCTGTAACCTGAAGCGTATGTAACCCGAGGTACCACTGTATTTGACATTTGATGTTAGCCACCCTGAGCCCGGTCTTGGCCAGGGAGGGCGGGGTATAAATAATAATTTACTTACTTACTTACTATTTGATGTTTGTGGTTTCCAAAATATTCAGGATTCTTTGCATTCCACAAGGAAAGTGTTGTTGTTTTTCATAAACTGCATTGGAAATTTCCATATTTTGAATATGCTGCAAGAATAATTGTCCCTATCTAGGATGGACTAGATATGCTTCCCACAAGCATATCTCTTACAAATGCTCATGTAAACAGGTGGGAAATGCTCCTGGTCTTGCAAACCTGAGAAAGAACAAAATCCCTGCCAGCAGGCCATGGACTTCCCACAAATCTAGCTTGCAGAAGCTCCAAGCATAGACAGGCAAGAAGAAAATTTATGTGTGATCAGCTGTTTGGGAGGGGGAGCTGAATTCTGTCCCCCTCTCTTCTCCCTTCCAAACAGCTATTTGGCATAACTGATGCTTTCTAAAAGTACTCCTCATGTGCAGTCCTGGCAGTTGCACAACTGTGTTACTGGATTAGGACTAATGTACTTTGGTATAATTACAGCATACCCATGTGTGTGTTTACCCCTTGTGTTCCATGATGCTAAAGATAAAGTGTTCCATGATGCCAGATAAAGTCTGCATAGGATTTCAGCTGTAGTCCATTTTCATATTTAATAAAGAACTTTATTTTTCAATTAAATCCATGTGGTTTTTGTGGCCTCCAAGGCTTTTTCTGATATGTCCCTTTCGAACCTTTGTTGCCCATATAAAAATCTTCCCACAATATTTACTGCTGTTTCTATGAGTGCTTTGGCATCAGGTGTGCTGAACTGAAAATACTGTAATAGATTGGGCTGACATTATACGATTTAAGGTCCCAGTACTTCAGCAGAATTGCTGCCCAACTTTCCATACTCAGAAAATATATCTACATTTTATCTTCTGGGTTTATTGTATCCATTTTAGTATTTTAACCTTTGTCATTTGACTCCATTAAACTCCATGGATCCTTCAGCTGTTTCTGAGGGAAGAGATTTCTTACCTAGGACGCTGAACATTTTATAGTGTTCTGTAATTGTAGCATTTTATTTAAGGGTATTATAAGCAACACATAAGTCTGCCATAACTGAGGCTTTTTCAGCTGTTTGAATTAATGCAAATTCTGTTACCATTATATTTTATAAACAGGGCATAAAAGAGTGTTCCAAGTGAAACAGAAGCGGAGAACTCTGCGATCATGCAATTTTCCTCAGATTTATTGCCTGTGAGTCTCTGTGTAAATCCTAGCAATTTCACAAATTGGAAATGGCTCCACCACATTGTCTTCTGTATTTATAAAGGGGTTCATAATTACCAACATTCTTTTTCAGAGCCCTTTAGATATAGGCAGCTCTTATTTATTACATGCTTGCTTTTTAAAATACATTTTGCACTGAATATGTATCAGTTTGCCTTAGTCAATGTTAAGATTCATTTTGCCATGTGTCAGTGTGATTATCCAGCAGATAAACAGTATTGTGAATAAAAGCCTTTATATACTCCCCGTTCCTCTCAAATTGAGCTCATTGAAGCTGGTCTTCAGGAACAGGAAAAGAGGGGGAAATCAAAACATCACATGGTTGGATAGCCTGTTTAAGAGGTTTTGCTGAGATGGAAACTAAGGGTGCATTGAATATTTGTGCATTTCATTATGGGGAGCAGAACAAACATTTGGGGGTATTTCCAAAATTCCCCCTCCTTGCTCATCTTGTTCACTGTCTAGATTGCCCCCTGATCTGCAACATCTTTGCCCAATTGACTTCTATTTAGTGGCATTTATATATTTTTCTTTCTAGGGAGGTGATGTCAAGATGATATCTCAAAGGGAGTTAACCTACTCCAGCCTGCCTCTCTCACAAGTTCCTCTCTTCTATCCATCATCTCTCTATATGTATCTTCATTTATCCAAAATTTATCTTTAGAAATCAAAACATTTGTATAAGTTAATAGAGTACTATAAAAAAAATTAACAGTCATAAAGAAAGCAAAGGAGGAAGGAAATTAAAAGAAAAGAGAGGTTTCCACTTTTCTACCTGCCAATTATTTGTATATCAATTTTTCAAAATATTTAACCTTTACACTCCAAAAATATCCAGCTTTCCCCCATTCTGCTAGATGGTAATCCCAGATTTTCTTCCCGGGCACCCAGAATTCACAAACACATTCTTTATCATGGTCCAAAGACCCACAAAAACAATTTCAAGAGCAAAGAACAACAGAAATATGGAAAAGTCGTTTACTAGGCAGTCACTCAGAATTCATCTTTTCTCACTCAGGAAGTCCAATTCATTTATGTATCGTTATCTTCAAGTGTCCAAAATAACCTTTTTCCAGTTCCTGGTGGCAAAACTCCTGACACATTTTGATGGAAGTAAGAAACAGCGTTTCTGCAAATTATTAAACTACCAGAGGAGCTTCCCAGGGCTGATTCCATGTTTTTCGGGTACTCTGGACTCCTTGCTGTAGAATTGCCCCTTATTTATTGAGGGAAGACAAAGTGAAAATATGGCTGGGGAGAGTAGAGGGAAGCAGACAACAC